GTCAAGAAAGGGGGGGAAAGGAAGGGAGGGAGGGAAGGAAATAATGGAGAGAAAGAGGGAGGAAGAAGAGGGAGGGAGGAGAAAAGGAAGGAGGGAAGAGGGAGAAAAAGAAGGGAGAGAGAAAAGAAAGAAAAGAGAAAAGAAAGATGGGTAGGAGGGGAGGAAATAAGGGAAAGAAAGGGAGAAAGAAGAGGGAAGGAGGAGAAAGGGGTAGAAAAGGAAGGAAAAGAAGAAAAAGAGGAAGCCAAGAAAGGAAAAGGGAGGAAAAGAAAGAAGGGAAGGAGGAAAGGAAATAAAGGAGAGGAAGGAAGGAAGAGGGCAGAAAAGAAAGAAGAAAGAAAAATAAAGGAAGGGAAGAAATAAAGAAAAAGGAGGAAAGCAGAGAAGGAAGAGAGGAAAAGTAAGGAGAAATAAAAGAAGTTTGTATAGACAGACAGCTAGATGAAGGAAGGAAAAAAGGGTAGAAAGGAAAGAGAGAAGGAGAGGGAGGAAAGAAATATATGAGGAAGGGAGTTTGGCAGGTTTTTGTAATTATTAAGAAAAGCAGGGATAGTTTTCAGTGGACCCCCCCCAAAAGAAACGGGGGGTCCCTTTTCTGGTCCCCCAGGAAGGAGGCACTCCCTGACAGTGTTAAAAATCCTCTTTATTACGGCGAGTTCCATTCCGACGGTGTCTTGAGACTTTCAAGAAGAGACTGGACTGCCATTTGTCAGAAAATGGTGTAGGGTCTCCTGCTTGGGACGAAGGGGGTTGGAATAGATGACCTACAAGGTCCCTTACAACTCTGTTATCTTAGCGTCGGCAGAGGCAGCCCAGGTAATCGGGTTAAACCCCCCCGCAGCCAGAGTGGGAGCTAAATGGAAAAGCAATATATAAATAATTGGCACTAAATAAACCCTTCCTTCCTTCCTTCCTTCCTTCCTTCCTTCCTTCCTTCCTTCCTTCCCTTCCTCCCTTCCCTTCCCTTCCCTTCCCCTTCCCTCCTTCCTTCCTTCCTTCCTTCCTTCCTTCCTTCCTTCCTTCCACTGGAGCCCGATTAAATTACAAGCGAAACGTTAACAGTGGTGCGCCCGGAAGTGGTGTTGAGTTCACACACCACAAAGGCTCTCTCCTAACTTGGCAACTTTTAAGACTGGTGGACTTCGACTCCCAGAATCCCCCATTCAACCATCCTTGTTGTTGTTTTTTCCCTCCTCTTCCTCCCTAGGGCGGAGAGATTGCAGAGGAAGGGATGACAAGAGAGGAAGCAGGCAGAGAGAGTTGAAGTCTTAGCGAAGCTGGCTGGGGGGGGATTCTGGGTTTTGGTGGGTTTTTTTTGCCTACTCCCTGGAGTAGAGAGCAGAAGAACGTGCTGCCCTTACACACACACACACACACACACACACACACACACAGAGGAAGTGTGTTTTAGAACTTTTGGTAATGTTCCCCAACACTTCCCTTCACCCAGTCTCAGGAAATTGTCCCCAAGAAATCCAGCCACCAAGCAGGCCAAGATTAGCCCACAAGGCCGAGAGTCCATAAAACAGTAGGAAGTTGCTGCAAATCTACCAGCCAAACCTTAAAGCCACCGGGCAAAACCGAAAGCTTACTCGGCCAGAGAAGTTCGGAGTCTCCAAGGCAAGGAAGCCCACGGGACAAAGACGCACAGCCGCAAACCAAACACGTTAAATAGCTTTTCTGGTGCAACAAAAGGCAGATCTCCTTTGCTCTTGTCTTTTCTCTGCCCTGCGGGCTCTCGGATCCAACACGGAAGGCAGCTCCTTTTCACGGACTTGCAAACTGCCCCCAGCTGAAGCCCTCCCCTTCCACACACACACACCCACATGTAGATCTCCTTCCGCCACCAGTTTAGAGCCATTAATTAACCCAGTTCCTAATGTGCCGCGAATGAGCTCAATAATCCTTCCTCGACTCGGACTCCTCCGAGGAAGAGTCAGGGAAACCATCCAAGGGAGACAGATAATACAAGGAAGGGATTACAAGAGAGTAAAGTAGATGATTAATAGAGTTGAAGTCCACAAATCTGGACATGGCGTGCGCATGGACCATGGTGTTTGTCAACTCTCCGGCTTTGGAACCCGCTTCTTCTAGGGCCCTTTTTTTTCTCCTAACCCCAAAGTTCTTGGGCTCTGTGTGTGTGTGTGTGTGTGTGTTTGTGTTTTGACTTCAGGGGGGCAGCTTCTCACCTGTAACTTCTCTCTTTTTCTCAGGCCTACAAGCGGGTCACTCAAAACCTGACTTCTCTGCCGTCCAGCACCACCCAACAGATCTTCAAGAATTTTCGGGTCATCTCCAAAGCCATGGTGGAGAAGGGAGGAGTGGTCTCCCCTTACACCCTGGGTTTCTGAGACCCCCCCCCTTCCTCCTCCTCCTCCCAAACCCCTCCTCCCTGCTAGCACTGATGATGTTCCCTAGTTGGGTCATGAAATGTTTGCAAGGAAACCACCCAGCTCAGAGAGCAACAAGGACCCCACAGTATTCTCCTCCTCCTCCTCCTCCTCCTCCTCCTCCTCCTCCTCCTCCTCCTCCTCCTCCACCTGTCTTCCTTCCTGGTTGCCATGGGGGGCTGCAGACTGGGAGATGTCGTTTTTACGGGGCAACTGCACTTCGCACCTCTGCAGGTAGTCCTCGCTTTACGACCACAATCGCAACCGGAATTTCCATTTGCTAAGAAGGCAGCTCTTAAGTGAGTCTCTCCCTTTCCCCCCTTCCCCCCTCACTCAATTTTACAGCCTTTTTTTTTTTCGGGCATGGTTGTAAGCCAGCTGCCGCAGCGAACCGTGCCGCCGTTTAAGCAAGTCCAGCTTCTGTTGCCGGAACTGGCTTGTCGGAAACCAGCTGGAAGATCGCAAGTGGAGGGGGGGGGAATCCTGGGATCCTCGTGCCCATCCTAAAGGCGAGCTCGTTGCCAGGGCCCGGATTTTTGGGGGATCATGTGAGGATGTCTCCACGGCCATCAATGTGTGATTGACTCAGGGTGGGATACCAAATAAACGCAGTCGCAAAAACCCGGTGAAGCCCCTTTTATTCTTTCCCTTTGCTTCCAAGCTCCGAATATCCTTGACGGAAGACAAAAAACTCCCCCACAAACAGTTACAAGAAGGAGGGGAAAAAAGCAACACAAACCAGGCAAGATAAGGGCTGGAGGACGTCCACAATTAACACACACTGGGAAGGACGCCAAACTCAGAGAGGAACCATAAACTAGAGATATTTCCATGCTTTGTTTCTAGCGCTCGCCCATACGCAGGTCCAGCCTCTTATTCAGTTGTCACAGCTGCAGCCCATGAAGAAGATCAGGGCCCTTTCATCCCCCGTAGACCATGCCATTCACATGTCTCCCTTATCCTCTCCTCCCAGCGTGCCCTAGGATGGAGAGGGGAAGGGCCTGGGTCCTCCTCTGACTGCCCAGCCGGCCTCTGCCCTTCCCCAGCCTCCTCCACCACAACCCCCGGAGAGCCCCACTCCCACTCCCTGTCAGCAGTTCCTCCTCTCCCGCAGAGTCAGTCTCCACCAGGGGCACGACAAAACGTAAGACCGGGTTCTAAGTCATTTTTTGACGTTGTAACTTCGGACTGCCGCTAAACAAGCGGTTTTAAGTCGAGAATTTGCCTGTAGTTGGAAATCCCGCCGCCATCCTTGTTTTTTCCCGCCCCTGCAGTTGCGTCACCCTGCCTGGGAATTTGCTATTAAAAAGTTTTTAATCCAATAATCCGGAGTGAACTTGCAGCATTATTGATGGGTGGGGGAGGGAGGATAAACGCGCCCCGCCGTAGCCCGAGAGATTTTCCAAACTATTTCCAGATGATCCGGCAGATCGGAAAGGGTATAAATGCTGCCCCTGGTTGAGGGCAGCTTTGAGTTGCAACATATTTTAAAAAGAGTGGGGGGAGGAGGAGGAAAGAAAGAAAAAACGGGATTCTCAGCCCATTTACAGTGGCGTAAAACACATGGAACTCTATGGAAAGTTGCAGTGAAATGATTAATTTGGGTCATTTGCACAATTTCCCTGAGATTGGATTTTGCATTTTTGTCCATCCATGGAGCTGGGATCGTTTAATAATCCAGTAAAGCCATTTGCAATTGACTGGAAGGGGTTTAGGTCAATACTTTTCCAACCAAAATTGTCTTGCAATTGACTGATGGTGATTTTTGTCAATGTTTTTCCAAGTAAAATTGCCTTTTGCAATTGACTGACAGGGATTTATGTCAATGCTTTTCCAACTAAAATTGTCTTTTGCAATTGACTGACAGGGTTTTTGTCAATGTTTTTCCAAATTGAATTGTCTTTTGCAATTGACTTGATAGGGTTTTTGTCAATATTTTTCCAAATTGAATTGCCTTTGCAATTGACTGACAGGGTTTTTGTCAATATTTTTCCAAGTTGACTTGTCTTTTGCAATTGACTGATGGGGATTTATGTCAATGCTTTTCCAACTAAAGTTGTTTTTTGCAATTGACTGATGGTGATTTATGTCAATGCTTTTCCAAGTAAAATTGCCTTTTGCAATTGACTGACAGGGATTTATGTCAATACTTTTCCAACTAAAATTGTCTTTTGCACTTGTCTGATGGGATTTTTGTGAATATTTTTCCAAGTTGAATTGTCTTTGCAATTGACTGGTGGTGATTTATGTCAATGTTTTTTCAACTAAAATTGAATTTTGCAATTGACTGATGGGATTTTTGTCAATATTTTTCCAAATTGAATTGTCTTTTGCAATTGACTGACAGGGTTTTTGTCAATGTTTTTTGAAGTTGAATTGTCTTTTGCAATTGACTGATGGGGATTTATGTCAATGCTTTTCCAACTAAAGTTGTCTTTTGCAATTGACTGACGGGATTTTTGTCAATGTTTTTCCAAGTAAAATTGAATTTTGCGATTGGCTGATGAAAATACTTGATAACATTGCTGTAATAATATTTGATTAATAACATTTGCTCAAGTTCAAACGGTGCTCCAAATATCTTGAAAATACACCCAAGTCCTCCGTTACGATCACTAATCATTATTATTACTTCCAGTCCTCTTGATCAGCTAGAAATAAGGTACACTTCCTACAATAAGGAACCAAATTTAAAAGTGTGTTAAGAAAACAATGACCAGTTCTTATCTCTTTTTATTAAAAAAAAGGGACACCCACTTAGCTCATTATTTTTCATTTTCCTTTTTAAAAGTTCATTTTGAATAGCCAGTGCAAAAGCTACAAAGCCTTCAGGAAAAATGAAAAAGACAAATGGTTAAAGAGGAAAAAGAAATCTAGATATCTTGTTTTGAATGAGATAAACTAAATATGAATAAAAGGAAAGAATAAATAACATTTGAATAAAATTTGAAATAAATCTATATTAGTCCTTGTTTTATGACCACAATCGAGGCCCAACCTTTCTGTTGCTAAATGAGACCAGTGAGTTTTGCCCCCGTTTCACAAACTGCTTTCCCCTGTGGAGTCTGCTGGTCAGAAGGGCACAAAACGTGACCCCCTGGACACACTGCAACCGTCATAAATACGAGTCAGTTTGCGAAGCGTCCAAATTTTGATCACGTGACACACGGGGATGTCTCAATGGTCGTAAGTGTGAAAAATGGTCCTACGTTGCTTTTTTTCTGTGCCGTAACTGAATGGTCACTAAACGAAGGTAAGTCGAGGAGTACTTGTAACATGCCTAGGTATTGGGATAAAAATTAACTCAACTTGTAACTTTTATCAAATCTAGACCGTACCAAAACGTTCTTCAAACACTCGCATTTACAAAAGTGGAAATCTAAAAGAAAGAAAAAAAATCAGAGGATAAACTTTATCTAAACTATATCAATCTCTCTTTCTATATATATATTCTGTATTGTGTTCATCTGTGAGTCAGACTTTTACAGTAAAAGTCTGATTACAGTAAAAGTCTTGACTACTGTAAAAGTCTGACTCACAGATGAACACAATACAGAAGCCTGATGGTGGCAGATGAGATTCTGCCGAAACGTCGCTACAACTTTAAAAGCACAACTATAATGACGTGGGAAAATACCCGAACAAAGCTGAATACCATACATATAGATACCCGCGAAAACTTAAGAAAACCTCTATATCTATATATATCTCTATATCTATATCTATATCTATTCTTTCTATCTATCTATCTATCTATCTATCTATCTATCTATCTATCTATCTATCTATCTATCTATCTATCTATCTATCTATCTATCTACATCCATGCGAAATACCACTCATGCATCATCACAAAATCTCCAGAACCGTCAAGCTTACAAACTTGAAATTTGGCACGTTTGTTCCTCCCAGCTTCTAGGGGCTCACTAAGAAAGGATTTTCCAAAATGACCCTCAGAGCATTTAGAGTATTTCCTCTATTATTGTTATTGTTGTTGTTGTTATTGTTGTTGTTGTTGTTGTTATTACGCTCTGATGCTAAGGAGTTCTACTCCCCTTCCCCACCTGAAAATAAATCTCTTCCAAATGCAAAACACAAGCAGAGACATCAAAACACCTTGCTGTCCCCTCTTTGCTCACACAGCAAATACTGTTTCAGTTTCCAAACAGCCCTCAAGTCTCACACACTGACAAGGACGCTAGCCAGATGAATACCAATGGATGCTGGTGGGCAGAGGCAGAATTTCCCCCCACCCTATTTTCCTCCCCCAAAACTAAGCCACATAGTTTCGTAGGGAAGCACAGGGATCCAGCTAGTTGTAAAACTACATAGAGAGAAAGCGAGCCAAACAACCGTTTTGATGGCTTCCTAAATCTTTTTTATTATTATTATTATTTTTAGTTTGCTCCTGATGATTGACAACCTTCCCAATTCAGCATACTCTAAAAAGAGAGAGAGAACTTTAAGGCCCACAATGCTTTTGGGGTGCGGACGGTGAGAGTGTTGTAAAACCATCTCTGCCCTAACATGACACCCAATTGTTGGAAATTTATTTACAATCGGGGAACTTATTTCCACATGTGGTAGACTTGTCCTCATGCATGACAATTTTGGCAAATAATTAGAATTTGGATAGAGGAAATAACAAAACAGAAAAGTAAAATTGAAACCGGATTTTTTTTTTTTATTAGGCATGTTAGAACCAAATATGAAAAAAAAAACCACCAATACTTGATTCAGATAACAGATAATCAGAGTTGGGAGGGACTTTGTAGGTCATCTAGTCCAACCCCCCCCAAGCAAGAGACCCTACCCCATTTCTGACAATTGGCAGTCCAATTTCTGCATATTATAACGGCAGCTGGAATAAGTATTGCTCAAAATTGGAAATTGGCTACAACTCCTTCAGAAAACATGATAATCAATAAGATACATGAATGTGCCGAGATGGATAGACTAACTAAACTGCTAAAAGATAATCAAGACAGTGAATATTATAAAACATGGGATATCTGGTACGACTGGCTAAAGAAAAGGTGATATCTGATG